AAATCATCTTTCTTGTCATTTTGTAGGTTGTTTTAAAGTTAAAAATGATGAGCTCTCTTAGCAGCCACCTGTATGCGAGCATATCGAGTCCCAGTATGTTCGAGCAATGAATTGATACACAACCTCCTCCCACTGTATCAAAATGAAGCTCGATCTGGCATATTTCTAGAGTCCAGCCCCACTGTGAGCACTGGGCAAAGCAATGGACTGGGAGCATGATAAACCTTCCAAGAATGGTTGGATATAGTACGGTAGATATGTACCTTTAGAAAACTTGGCGTTGCTTTCAAGTCCATGAAGTATGAGAACAAGTAGCCGCATCCCTTAGATTGCGAAAACGTTTGCAACTCAAGCATGATTAGTCAGTGTGCCCGAGTGGTTAAGGGGAGTGATTAGAAATCACTTGGCTTCGGCCGCACAGGTTCGAGTCCTGTCGCTGACGGCTTTCTTTTTGCTTTTTCAATTCGCTGTCTGTCCTTGGCATATTGCTCAAGATGTAATATGCCCGTTTTTTTTTCTTTCCTTTTTATGTAGCAGGTCTCCTTCCAGCTTCTGTGGTAGTGGTCATTCCCTCCTTCAACATATTTGTGTCCTGTTAGTATAACACAGCTGGTACTATGCTCTGCGTACCCCATCTTGTCTAATAAATGCACACTGTTTACTGCATGAACACCATGGATTATCAATCGCTAAGTTGGATCTAACCCGTTTCTAAGTTCACAAGACTGACAAGCATCACACCCCTGCCAAATAGTGGGTCTCATATTTACTTCCGCAAACCACGATAAACAGGATACCCCCCCAGAGAGTCGACATGAAGTGGACGGGTGCAACAAACTAGATTATGGAAAGAGCTGCCTACGGGGATGTCTGCATGACCTCCTCGTGGCCGCCCGCGGCAGTGGTAGCAAAATAACGAACATCAACGTCTTCATCTTGCTGCAACTTCTCCAGGCTAGGGAGGACCCTCTGCTGGATGAGGTCCTGTCCCCGTGGTGACGGGGTAGCAGTCTTGCCGGCTTTCTCAAGCTCGGACAGCGTACCTTCGGAGGGAAGGCGTCGTAGCGCGTCGATCAATATAGCATAAGACTTGGCAACGTTGAAGCGGATGTTGGGGATCTCATCGGTCACTAGTCTGTCCAAGATAGGGAGGATTGAGTTCTCAATGATGTCCAGGGAGACAACAGGTGCGAGTGTCTAGTAGTCCATTAGCAAACCAACTTGTCCTCCTCAACAGGCGGAAAGGCACTCACGGAAATAGCAAAGCATGTGGTCATTCTGTAGAGGTAGTTAGGATGTTGTCCCATTGCCATGACCTTTGGAATGATTGAGCCCTGGGCCCACTCAACTCCAAAGACTTCTGTGAGCTTCCTCAAGTTCTGTGTGGCAGCCTCTCTGATGGAGAAAACAGTGTCACCGAGCCAGCCCATGCAGAGATCGCTGAGCTGTTCGTCAAAGAACTTGACACCTAGCTGACTGGCAAGTAGTGGGATGTATTCAATGATAGCAAGGCGAACTCTCCATTGCTTGTCCTCAGCTAATTGGACGATTGCGGGGAGAAGTGACTGCGATAGAAGGTCGATGCCAATGACTAGAGACCATCAGCATAATTGATCATGGATACCGGTATGAAAGCCTTACCTTTATTTACCAATTCCAGCTTGGAGATAATGTGCAGACGAACATCTGGGAAGTCATCCTTGAGCATCTGAAGGAACATGGGTAGAAGATGAGAGATCGTCCTATTTGTGTTTCGTCAGTTGCAGCTCATAAAGCTTCAGCACATGCCACTCACTCTTCCTTTCCGAGAATCGGGGCTAGCCCGCTGATTTGGGTACCCAGAGCTGCGCGCACGTGCTGAGACTGATCCGAAACAAGATCCTCCACACTTGTCATGATCTCATTAAGAAGAGTCTCCCGGTCAATCAGGCTGCAGAAACCTGTCTCGAATTAGCACGAGGTTTTCGCTTGCACGACGTTCTTTTAGTACCTGGAATCTGGCCGGCAATGGCAGTCCGGACTTCAGCCTCTGTGTCCTTGAGAAGCTTAACAAACGAGGGAACCATGTCACGAGTGACAACCTCTTCGTGTACGGCTTTGGCAATCTATTGTGAAAGGTTAGAGAGCCAGGAAAACATCGGAGCCATGCGCAACGAGATACAATACCTTCTCATATCTATCAGCAACCATATACCTGACTCTCCAACTCTTATCCTCAAAGAGGTTCCGCAAAGAGGTCAACAGGACACCGTGACTGGGTTGCTGCTCTTTGGGAATCTCCTCGGCGATGGAAATGAGAATGTCCACCGTCAGCAGACGCACGCTATCCTGGTCATCGCTGGCTAGATACTGAAACAAGGGAATCATCTCATCGATAATCACTTGGGTCTGCATCTCCTTGACGAGCTTCGCCAAGTTGTTGGCGGCCTGTCGTCGCACCATTGGTGTCTCATCGTGTACCAGACCCCCGAAGTATTGGCGCAAACTCTGCTGCACTGAGGGTTGGGATTTCCGGTATGGAATGCAATAGAGACCCGTGGCGGACACTTTCGACGTGAACCAATCGGCCTTTGAGAGACGCAACACCATGGGAACGAAAAACTCTTCGATCTGCTTCTCAGACAACTCCTCACCAATCTTGTTGAGTGATTCGACAGCCTAATTTTCGGTCACCAAACTGTATAATTGATTCCAGGCCATCTGATTTACCTTCTCTCGCACCAACGGCTCCTCGATGGCTGCCAGGTTCTCCAAAGGAGAAAGGAGGACGTGTCCAAACTCGGGACCACCAACATATTCCACGAAATTGCCTAGCTCTTCACTGAGTGCCGTCAAAACTTCGTCCTCATCTTCGACAGAGTCTAGTTATTCACGAATTAGACACCAACTCTCGCCACTGCTCGAATATCGACATGGGACTAACCGTCAAGAAAAGGGATCAGTTCGTCTCGAGTTCTCTCCGGACCCAAGGCCAATGCAATTGTAGAAAGACGGTGGATAGCGTTGATACGCAAAGTGACCTCATCGTGCTAAAAAAAATAATATGAAAACCGTGATGATCAATATTGGCTTGGACCAGAAACTCTTGGCTTGAAGAATGACTGTACCTTCAATTCGTCGATGAGGACGGCAATGGGGTAGAGCTCGTCATTTTCTCCTTGACCCTCCATTGCGGAATGATTGAGATATCTTCGAGATTGTATTGAATTAAGAGAGAATATCGGAGGAGGCAAGGATGTGGCAGGTCCAAGGCCTCAGCAGGAATAGAATTGTTGCGTTGTTCGGTCGATCCGGTATGATGCGCACTTGACAACCTTTCTGATCGCGATTCAAAGACGAGGATAGGGGCCGTGATAAGGGGAACAATTTAATCAAGCACCTATGCACAGGTATGGATTAGTCTCTGTCGTGGATAGAGATGTCCTGGTGGTATAGTAAGGGATGCGGTTGGTAGTGAGGCCCCGGGAGCGAGGTTTCGTGGGGTTTGGGCTGCCGCAGGACCACTCGAGCAAGCAACGCAACGCACCTAGAGAGTAATGAAGGAGAATCGAGCAGACACAGCGAACGGCCGTCGATGGATTATGAGAAAAAGATAGATGTTCTTGATTCGGAGACAATGAGGAGTACAGGATAAGTTTCAGGAAGCTGACGTAGGGCTGGATTTTCTCAGCGCCAGTGGGTATTGAATTGGTATGGGAGGTGAAGAGAGCTTTGGACGGTCGGTGGTCTTGACCTTCTGCTTAGTTACCTAGAGAGTACTCCGTACTGACCAGGGAGATACAGCACTGGTAACTTATCCTGTGCTATCGACCTGCTGTGGCTGGTGGGGGTGAAATAAAACACGACGTAATTTACCAGACTATTACGACCTAGGTCCAAGGAGGGGTGATTATCGTGGCGGTGCGTTCTATCTGTGGCTGAAGACCCGACCGCTTTGAGGGTCAAGCCCCAACAGAGACAAAAGTGTCACGGACTTCTATGACTACTCCGAAGACAGGCCATCTAGCTACCCAACGCTGGGATACATACCAGTCACACATCTTGTGGAGAGTCTAACGTGGGAAAGCCCGCACCGACCAACTTGGTGATTTCTTGCATCCCGCTTCAGTGCGTTGGAAGAACAGTCTCCATTATCTAGTTGCGGCATACCTATAACCCCTCACCATGCCCACCATCTCGGTTGATAAGGCCGCGCTCTACAAGGAGCTCGGACGGGAGTATGTGATTCCTTGGGCTTGGAGTCGTCAGTGCTTCCGTCGCTGATTGATTCTTTCCAGGTACACCACGGAGGAATTCGATGAGTTGTGTTTCGAATTCGGTTCGTTTGACTCATCCTATCTTTTTTTTGGCGGGGTTTGCGCTGACTGGTTTTTTTTTTCTGGAACAGGTATTGAGCTCGATGAAGATGTAATGCGCCCTTTTAGTATACCGAGATCGCGAGCGAAGAATACTAAGGAGTACAGACAACGAACTCGGACAGACCCATCGTCGATGGAAAGCAGGAGCCGCCGCAGTTGAAGATCGAGATCCCGGCTAACCGGTATGCAGGGCTATAATCGGGATGATATGAGCCATTTTTTTCACGTATACTGAGCTTTGTGTTCACAGATATGATTTGTTATGTTTCGAGGGCATTCAGCTTATGCTGAACATCTTCCTGGGCCGGAAGGCCCTCCCCAACTACCGGACGATTGAGCCTGCCAATGGGCAACTGGAGAAGATCATTGTCAAGGAGGATGTGAGTGCGCTTGTTTAGAGGGTTGTTTTGGCGATACCAAAGTCACTTACGAGTCTCCAAATAGACCATGAAAGTCAGACCCTTGGTCTCGGGAGCCATCCTGCGCAATATCAAGTTCGACAAAGCTCGCTATGAATCTTTCATTGCTCTGCAAGACAAACTCCACCAGAACCTCGCCAGGCAAAGAACGCTCGTGTCGATCGGTACTCATGATCTGGATACTATCCAGGGCCCTTTCACTTACGAGGCTCTGCCACCTAAAGACATCAAATTTGTGCCCTTGAACCAAACGAAAGAGTTGAACGGCGAGGAATTGATGGCATTCTACGAGGTATGGAATACTTCAGCAACGGCCGGTTGCTTATTGATGCTTACCTGCAAAAACAGAAAGACAAGCACTTGGGCAAATTCCTCCATATCATCCGGGACTCGCCAGTCTACCCTGTCATCTACGACTCGAAGAGAACCGTTTGCTCTTTGCCACCCATCATTAATGGTGATCACTCGAAGATTACCCTTGATACCAAGAATGTCTTCATTGAGATCACAGCTATTGATAATACAAAGCTGGATATCGTGACCAAGATCATGATTACGATGTTCTCTCAGTATACTTCTGAGCCATTTACGTAGGAACAACCCTCTCCTTTATCTGATAGCTGGATGCTAATTGGTTTTTGTCAATAGTGTCGAACCCGTCCAGATTGTCTCTGAACACAACAATGAGACCAGAATCGAGCCTGACATCGTTCCCCGCACTACACAGGCGGAGGTTTCTTACATCAACCAGTGCTGTGGACTGGAGCTTTCGGCGGAGGATATCTGCAAGCTTCTGACCAAGATGGCTTATCGGGCACGTCCGTCCGCATCATCCCCCGATGTCATTGATGTGGACATCCCTCCTACTCGCGCCGACGTCCTTCACCAAGCAGATATCATGGAGGATGTTGCTATTGCCTACGGTTTCAACTCTCTGCCGCGATCCTTCCCAAGCAAGTCCGGTACCATCGCTCAGCCTCTGCCCATCAACAAGCTCACCGATATTGTTCGGATGGAGGCCGCAATGGCCGGCTGGTCCGAGGTCCTGCCTTTGATCCTGTGCTCTCACGACGAAAACTTCGCTTGGCTCAACCGCAAAGACGACGGCAACACTGCAGTCAAGCTGGCGAACCCCAAGACCCTCGAGTTCCAGGTCGTACGCACAAGCCTGCTGCCTGGTCTGCTCAAGACCATCCGCGAAAACAAGCACCACGCAGTCCCCATCAAGATCTTCGAGGTTAGCGACGTGGCCTTCAAAGATCTGGCCTTGGAACGGAAGAGTCGCAACGAGAGACACTTCGCGGCGGCTTGGTACGGCAAGACGAGCGGTTTCGAGGTTGTGCACGGTCTGCTGGACCGCGTCATGGCCATGCTGAAGAGCGCCTTCATCACCGGCGAGGAGGGTCTCGAGAACCCCGCCGTCAGCGACTCACATTACTGGATCGAGGAGCTCGATGGTAAGTTCCCGAAGCCATCTTCTTACACACTCAGGGGAAAAAAAGTGTCCTAAACTAACCTGCCACAGAACCCACCTACTTCCCCGGCCACGCGGCGTCCATCCACCTCCGCATTGCCGGCAAAGACCACGTTATTGGTGCCTTCGGCATCCTGCACCCGACAGTCTTGGAAAACTACGACCTAAAATACCCCGTGAGTACTTTGGAGGTCAACATTGAAGCTTTCCTGTAAATGCGTGAAGAGCAGATAGGAATGATGTGAGTAAAATATAGATATCAACCTATGCATGTGGTAGAAATATCCAATGAGAGCTTGAGGTGCAAATATATCCATAGTAGGCGACTGAACTCTGGGAGTCCGAGAGCTTATGGTAGATGGTGACCAGCAGCTTCTGTAGCATTATCTGTGATTCGAAAATATAATTACACTACGCGGCATCTACCAGCCGTGATAGATAGTTCTATGAGCGATCCATAAACCTTGTATGTATGCAGTGGCTTTCTTGAGGCGTTTGAACGCAACTCCGCTCGGCGCAAGGTTAATTTACCGGCTCTCACAGAAGCTGAAAAACCTGTGAGGATAGAAGACACAAAGAAGACAAGTTTTCCCGTCCCGTAATCTCATTTTTCATTTCAAACATCACTTTTTGGTCTTTCCTACCTAGGTCTTTCACTAGGGATCTAGGACGAGGGCTGTAACGGAAAGTTCTTTCCCTCAGCAGTTGGGAACATATTGTTGGCGGGGGAGAGGGAGAGCGGGAGGGAGACAATTGAAGTTCATGTAGTGTTCTTTATTGCGTGAGGTAAGAGATAGGTAAGATGACAGGAACGAAGAAAAAAGAGCAGGGCCTAATGCAAGAAACCAGTTTACTCCTGGGCGTAACCCTCGGCGGCGGGGGCAGCCTCCTGGCCCTCAGCGGCCTGCTGCTCAGCCAACCGCTGCTGCTCGGCGGCCTGCTGGGCGGCGAGAGCCTTGGCACCGTAGTCCTGGCTCATGGGCTGGAGAACGGGCTGCTCCTCCTTGGGCTCGATGATGGTGACGGAGTCAGGGAGGGTCTTCTGAGGACCGGCCTTGCCCTCGGGGTCGGAGCCGCGCATGATCTTGACCTTGATACCAAGGACACCCTGGCGGAGGAGAACGTGACGGGTGGCGCTGTCAATGAACTCCTTGGCGGGCTGACCGGAGTGGATCATGAATCCGTCCTGTAAAAGAAAAGAAACCATGTCAGTCAAACCGATCTTTATACCGAACCATTCATATCCCAGCATTCGCAGTTCCTCAATCCCTTGCGTATTTCTTTCCCCAAAATCCAACTTCCAGGATTCCAACCAATCCAATAATAGAAGCGAGTTTGACGTACCGTGAACTTCATGGACTTGGCACGGGCAGCACGGAGCTTTCCGGAAACGACAACCTCACAACCCTTGGCACCGCTCTCCATGATGAATCGCAGAACACCGTAGCAGGCGCGACGGACAGCGAGACCGTTGAGGAGCTTGTAGCGGAGGGACTCGCACTGAGCGACGGCGGACAGACCGCGGTTCTGGACCTTGGCGGCATACAGGGAAACGGAGTTCTCGGGGAACTTGAAGCGCTTCTGGATGAGCGAGGTGAGCTCGCGGATGCGGCGACCCTGCTCACCGAGAACCTCCTGAGTGTGGGTGGCACGGATGACTGCACGAAGAGAGCATCCGTTAGCAAGACTGGACATTTATATCCCCCCCCATAAAATTTCCGTCGCGGCACAACGTATGCCCCCGATTGCCTCTCCCCAAACCCATCACACCAAATCCCTTATTGCATTGTTCCAATTCCACACACAGCTCTCACAGGGAATGACTTATTGTCGGGCGAACGTACTGATATCGGTGACGGTAGGAGTAACACGGACTTCGACGCCCGAGTAGCCCTCCTCAGCCAGCTCGCGCTGGAAGAACTCGTTCAGCTCGGCATAGAAGACACCGTCGGCGACGAACTTGCGGCGCTTCGAAATAGCTCCCTGGACAGCGGCCATGATTGCGTTTCTGCTGGTTGGTTTCTTGGGTTGTCGAAGAAACGGCCGGTGGTAGCGGTGCACTCAAGGTGGGAAGTCGTTCGAGGGCGAAGAGGTCGGCAGTCGTCAGACCGGATTTCAGAGTTTCCGCGTTAGTGGGGATTTTTTGGGCATAGGGCTTCTCCTTCCATTCTGGGATAGGGCTCAACCCTCGCTTGCACTCCGCCAACACCTTGCCTATCTAGGAATAGTCTAAACATCTAGCTTGCGGAGCTTATTTTTCAGGCTCCAAGGCCATCAAATCTCAGACCTACCATCCGCTTATAGTTAACCAAGTTATAGACATGGAACCTTTCCTGACTATGAGCAGAGAGCTTCACAATAAATGAATATAGGCATATGAATAATGTTCTGGGCCTATCGCAGACTGGCTCTGTATCGCTACCATAGCATAACATAACATACGTCAATTCGTAGACTGGAAAAACCACATATCACTCGCTTTACGTCTTCCCATTTTTTGTTTGTTTCGTGCCTATTGCATTTCAAGCTCCATTTGACTCATGGTGCTTTTTGGCTCCGGAGGGTTATCACTCCCTTTAGAAAAGGCCAAGTTGGAAATCCCTGATGTCACCGCCGCTAGTCCAGTCGGGGCGGAATTCGTGGTCGTTTTCCCAGAAGTACCGCTTCCCATAGAATGATGGGCTGTTTCAATCCCTGTCAAGACTGGCGTAGGCGTACCCTCCGAGCTAGGACTATCGCGACGGGTGGGAGGGGCTGAGGTGGGTTGGCGGGTCCCATTCATTTCGGCATCAGCTCGACCAAATGCTTCACTCCACCATCTGACTTCGTTGATGCGTGGAAAGATCAGGCGCTCCTTCCCGCGCTTGTGGTCATCGATCTGAGGGTCATACTGCGGGTTGAGGAACTGTTCTTTCCGAGCTAAAAAGTAGTCCCACACACTTCGAGTGCGTTCTTTTGCCCTCATATCTAGTCGCTCCTTCTCGCTGTTAAAGAGGAAAGTACCATATTGACACGAGTAGAGGTGGTAAAGCAGACGTCGTAGAAATCGCTCGTTGAATTCGAAGCGCGTCGGGTGTTGGTACAGGAGCTGATAGGTTGCGTCGAGGAATTGATGGAACACTGGACTTGTTTCTTTTACCTTGGTAACTTCCTTCTCAGAGACAACGGTCCTCGGCGCGGAGCCAGGCTTTCGAGGGCCGTCAGATTCATAGCTTTGCATTTCTCCGTCCGACTCGTGAAGAGAGTCACGACTCGTATTGTCTCTGTTGAAGAAGCCCTTAGCGCTGAGGAAGGCATTCTCAATGGCTTTGCTTGCACCGCCAGGTTCGCCGAAGCCACGACTTGAGTCTCCTCCGATTCTTTCATTTTCAATCTGGAACCACTTCTCACTACTCAAAGGACCGGATCGATGCCGAAACATGTGTCCAAAGGAGAGCCAATCCTTCTCCACCAACACCATGAATCCTTCTATCGTTCTGAAGTAAGGGTCTAGACAGATCTGGCTCAGAGCACTGAGCTGGCCGGTGCGATCCCACCCGTCTGAACAATGGATTAAGACATGTGAATGCTGCAGGCCGACCTGACGAGTGATCAATCCGGCGCCATCCAGAATCCCCGAGATATGCTTCAGCCATCCACTCCGTGCCAATTGATCCCGGTTGGGACCCAACGGGGTGACATCCGAATCTTTCAAGGCATCTATCACCTTATTAAGCGAGTCTCGCATCACATGAATATTGTCGATACCAAGATATGCTTTCGTGGCGAACTTGTAGTTATCCATATTCTCTGAGCCGAGACCCACGGCTTGCATTGCGAAGGCATTGACTGTCGGCCGGGCATCGACAATCAGGTTATGCTGCTGGGCGCCATAGATCTGGGGTTGTTCCTCGGGATCCCCGCGGAACGATGCGAGCATCTCGTCTTCCAACTCCTCGGCGTTCGTCAGTTCAGTTAAGGACCGACTCGATGAAGCATCGCCCTGTGTTGAGTTTGACGAGTCATGTTCGAGAGGTGGCGGAGTGAAGTTTGCCAACGGCCGCTCTGCTCGGGAGGTCGAGAAGATTGCTGCCAGTAACTTTTCATCCTGAATACTCCGGTTCTGCCGCACACCCACCAGAGGTTGAGAGCTTCTGGTAATCGAGCAGTTGTTTATGGGGTGACGATATGTCAGAACAGGCACCCTTGCTCTCGATCTGTATCGGCTCGCGTAGTTGAGCGTATTATCTGAAATCGTAGCGGGCACTGGTAGAAGAGCAGGGTACGTCGGTGAAAACTGAGGAACCCAGAGTCAATGCAACTATCCGATGACATCACACAAAAAAAAAAAAGCAGGATACTCACCCCATAGTCCATATTAATCTCAGAGATTCGCCAGCCATTCTCGTTGCTGTCCCGGCCCACGCCTTGTCTCGCCCATTCTTTGCGAGCATTGTACAGTTCCCAGCCGTTGATTTCTCGCTCCGGCGGCGGGGGCTGATAAGTGAACGCATAGAGCTTGTCAATCCGGCCGATCTTGCATGTCCAAAGTTTTATACTTTCATATACATCGCGAGCCTTGCTCTCACTCGTGAAGTAGAAACAGACGAAGGTAAAGTCTCGACAACGTAGGCGGATGGACGACGGTTGGCGGGATGCAGCGGGGTTCGGGCGATATGTACAGAATGCAATGATCGGATAAGTTATCCACAGCTCCTTCGGCCGAACAGGCGCACCCTGGGCTTGCGCATTGTCAATTCCTTGCGGGATGTGCGAGAAGATGATATGGTGAGGGGTGAGGTGAAGCGTGCCGACGACCTGCTCACCACGACGCGCCAAGGTCACATCTTCAACCTGAGATTCGAGAGAACAGGGGAAACTGTCAGATCCATGCGTTGCAAGAGGGATACACTCATGGATCAAACCTTAGCGACTCGTGTTTTCTCCATGCCTATGCTATTTCCGGGTCCGCACCACCTTCATGGCTAGGTGGGACGGAGCAAGCTGGCTGTAATCCAGAGCCTTCCGAAAGGACCGGGGAAGTGTGGAAAAAGGTCCTCGGTCAATGATGGCACGACGAGTATATATGAATGATAGAAGTGGAAATGGAGCCACAGAATTGCAGAGACCGGGACTTTGGGGTAACCTTGAGGCGGACAAGTCCCGCAGCACAAAAGGACAGCCCAACTCGACGGATCAGATGCGGAGCCCCTCGTTAGCTACGTCAAATGCCCGCCGACCAGGAGCGATGGAGTCTACACTACTATGGGGCACTTCATGAAGGTCATATTATTTCCCCCCATTTGATTGACATTGAACATCGTTCAGTAATAATTTTGACTGGTCAGAAACTACATTCACATATCATCCAGTTGATGATTCTCTTGGACTTTCGAGCACGAAGAGATTTGGGTGCCTGTGATGGATTGCCTGTTTCGGTAAAGGCTTGACAGGTGACTGGACGAGATGATTGAAGCATACCGACAGTCAGTGACTGAAACACTTTGAGATTCACACATGATCGACTCGTCCATTTGTATTGCATAATCAGGTAACTTTGTGAAATTCTGTGGGGCAATATTGGTGGTACCCGGCTGATCCAGTCAGTGTAAAAATAATGGTGAGTTATATATATATACATTGTTCTAATAGGAAGAGGTGAGTACGTGGATCATTAACCTCCATAATCTAGTAATACATGAGACAATGAAATATCCCTTAGACCACATCCATACGCCAAGCCTTATCCAGCTCAAATGCCAAAGAGCAAGCAGCACCGTAGAACCCATTGAATTCGAGATGGAGCGGATCTTGAGACCCAGACTCCTTCGCAGCGGTGGAAGATCCGCCAATCTCAGTGGCGTCCATGCTGAGTGAAATGTCCGTCGTCCGGTAAGGGTTGAATGGGCCGCTCTCGTAGAAAGAGTAGTTGAGCTGTTGACCTTGGAAATCGTAGCGATGAATGCGAGTGCCACGAATGTCATTCACCGGCAGGAACATATACTCTGCTGTGGTGTATCCACTCGACGAGTCTTGCTCCTGCGAAGTTATTGTCACGCTGGGCTTATTTAGAGTCAAGAGACCATCGGGGACCGGGACCCGAGTGAAAGCAGGAAGAGGTGACTCTCCCTCACTTCGCATTCGCTTCAAGAAGACATCCTGCAAGCAAGCCCGAATGCTCTCTACAGTAGCCTCTGCAACCGACTCATTCTCCCCAGATGTACCCAATAAATCGCGATATAGCTTCCGTGTGAAGCGAAGGTCAAGGCCATTCTCCGGGAGCAGATAGTCAACGCTGCTCTCGGCCACCTCGGCTCGCATACCACGAACGATGACTTCTACTTCGGAGTTGGAGATATCTGGTGTTTTCTTGACTGCGACCTCCATTTCAAGTCGTGGGAAAGAGTTTGCATTCGCAGCTGTTGGAATCAACCGAAAGAGATGAAGCCGTTGATCATCCCCAGGCGCCTGTGCCGTGAGCATACGAAGAAATGATGTTACACGAGGAACATCTGTGGTAAACGTGCGAGGGAGAGACATCCTGCCCAGTTGAGAAGCACTGACGGTCTGAGCTTCAGAGGAAGGGCTGCGCATGAAAAGACACCTGCCGACTGCGGCCGTTATGCTCTCCCTGATGCCTGTGCTCTCTGCTATAGATGGAGACTTTTTGCGCAGTACGTTGAGGAGCTCGTCCGACAGACGCGATTGATGTTTATCGTAAAAAGGAGTATCTAGTACTTTCGTTTCAGAGGTTTGAGTAGACGACATGGCCCATCGAAACCATGCATGTTGCCTATCAAACCACGAAACGTTCTGCTCTGGATCAACATTGTACACACTAGCCACCTGTGAGGCAGACAAGTAGGTGCCGAAAGGTATTGCGGGAGATGTCAGGCTGTAGATCGCTAGGTTCAAGGTTCTGCGAGCGTTATCCGCGTTCTCTCTGTTCTCTGCAAGATAGAAGATCTTGGTTGGGGCCTGTGGTGGGCCTTCAAACGCAACTCCATAAGTGTTGCCGACCCAAGACAGAAATTCCGGACTGAAAACCCGCTCGCCCTTAGATTTGGCTCTTTCGAGTGTGTACAAGTCGATCTCCTCTTGTCGAATCCGATTCGTTGCATCGTATATGATTTCACAAATCGACTCGCATGCATGCTGATTGCCAGTAATCCTCACAAGACCCAACGAGCGCGTGATGTCAATCTTCGCATCGTGTAAGCTGGCCAATTCTTCAAAGGAGAAATGCTCAGATTGGAGAAGTAGCGATAGCGAATGTGCCGGAAGACGGATATCGAGCTGACCAAGTTCGCCGGCAACACCAAGTTGCCAGCAGTCCCGGAGGATTCTTTCAGCGACCAGTTGCTTTCCTTTCAAAGCCTGCGCCACGGCGACTCTGTCTGCGACGCCTCCCTGCGAGACAGGGCCCGTTTCGAGGAAAGCGGAGGTACCTGGCCTCCAGACGGCAATATGCTTTCCCTGATGTGTTACACCCTCCTCGTTCTGCGCTTTAGCACTTTGAATGTAGTCTGTCAGTTGTTGAAAAGTGAAGGACAACTGGAGTTTGGTGCGTAAATCGTCCCAGTCGGTAAGATTCAGTTTATCGCGGGGTCGATGAGGCTCGCAGAAGCTTTGAATACGTTCAAGAATTGCAGCAGAACTAGGAATAACCTCGTCATACTCGACATCTTCTAGCATGAACGGAAGAGAAGACGTGTCGCTCGATGTGTTCTTGACTTTTGAAATTCGACGGCGTCGGTCTCGATGCGGCAAGACCACGATCTCCCCGGGCTTTCCTAACGAATCGACATCAAGGGTTACCCTCCGACTCTCAGGTTGCTTTTTGGCATGGTCTCTCAGCTTGCGTCGATATCGAGGACGAGATGCTTGCTTGTCGGTCGAATCGGGCTCAGTGCTCTGGAATCGGATGGATGCATCGCGCTGATAGCCTGTCAGAGATAGTAAGCTTTCTCTACAGGGGGAATTGTAGTGACAGCCTAAACGCCGCCCTGCTGTCCGTCCTGCAAATCGTGATAGCATATGGAAAAGAGGGCGAATTGTTCCGAGCCAGCCGCTCCATGAATTCTTCGCAATCAATAATCTTTGGAAGCTCTGCGCAATCTTATCAATGAAAAGTAAGCTATACTGTAAGCGGAAGCGGACAATCTGAAGTTTGCCTCAGGCCTCAATATATCGCCCTGTTGAAATCAACTCACATACATCATGAGAATGGAGATTAAAGTATTTTACTTTCAATTTATAGAACGGTCATCGTAATATAAAACACACGCTATGCAGTTATTGTCTAACAGAAACTTCCCAGCTCCTCAAATCTTCCCGGACATCAAACTCAGATACCTCGTCAGCTTCACTACGACCTCTCCAAGACTTGCCATTTGGATTGTCGTATAGCTGATTCTGGATGCTGCCTGTTTTCCTGGTGGATCCCGAGGAGGTATTAGAACCTTTGATTTCGTTGCGAAATTGGCTTGATGAGCTCTTTGGTCGTCTCTCAAAACTGGGAGACAGTCTGTTCCCCGATCTAGTTTGTCTTGTGTCGGTGTAACTATCAGGGCGCAGCTCATGTTGATATTCGCCCGACCATCTTGAGCGAGGATGGTTGTAATCATCATTTCCGCAAGAACCAGTGGCAAAGAGTTCCTCGATGAGTTTATCGGCAGGGATGTCGTCCGTGCCAGACAGCCAGGAAGCAGCGAGGGTGCGACGGTACATGTCCTGCATGTCGGCGACCTCTCTACTTTGCGTGTGAATTGATGGAAGCCTTCCCAGGTCATCATGTTCACCTTGTTCCGCAGAAACTACGCCTGCGATACCCGCGAAGACTGCGGCCGATCTCAGGGGAGGGCTGCTAGCGATCAGTAACAAATTCCCCACGATTAAATCAGTAGGAGAAATGTGCATACGTGGTAAAGTTCTTGTCGCCGTCAATTTGGCGCATCGCAATTCCGATCCTCAGCGTACTGTTAATCTTGCTGTCCTGCATCAAGTACCTCCTGACAATCCCCTCTTCGTCGTCACTTTTGTCCACATATTCGGCCAAGTTGAGCCTGATTCTTCCGAGGAGGTTCTTGTCACTGCTTCCCCCTGAGCCAAGCTCCTGTATGATCTCGAAGACGATCTCGCACTCGTGGAGAGTCTGGTTGCGATCGATGGTAAGCCTGACCTGCAGGCTCTTCTCGTAATTCCAGTGCGCCCTATGATCGATGATGATGGCTTTATCTGTATGTCCATGATGCTCGGTAGTGCTGGACGAAGGCAGACGCCACTTGACAAAAGCCGTTCCAGTCGCGAGGGGGACATTGTTGAGATCGATGATCTAGAGCGAGAGTATATGGTTAGCACAAGCGTAGATTCCATCTCAAAACACCTGACTGATACTTACTCTGAGGATGAATTCAAATCTAGGCTAATCACAAGGCTTAGCATCGGCGATATCTTCCAGGCAATCCACTTACTCTTCTATTTTTCGGAACTGTAGTATATAAATAAGTATGGTTTCATATCGGACATGAGGTCATCGCATGGCGTCTGATGGGGCAAGGCGGTACATACCAAAAGCCTGCATAATGGGCAAGGCTTTAAAGCCAATCAAAAGCGCCCTTCTTGTTCTTCCTTCTCATTGAATTAAGACAGATGACTTCTATAGTGTATCTATGAGTGCACGCCTCAGGTGCTTCGACGAACGCATTGACATCGCCGCATACAAATAAAGCGGTGACCCACATATAAGACCGGCAGAACTCCACCGCTATAGACCCACTTCGGCATCCCGGCATGCAGCGAACAATGCAATACTGTGGTACAGAGGTAGATATTCATACATTTATCTGCAAAATAGCCATCACATCGAAAGCAACACATCCAAATCTCTACGTCGTTCCGAGGGAAAAAAAATGAATCAACTGCCTCTCTCACCACCCGCCGAGCCGACTCCCCCCAGCCCAATCTCCCAACCAGTCGCCCTTGACTCCCCAATCCGTTCCGTCCCCATCCACGAATCCCTTCCCTCCATCCGCGTTCCCTCCGAACTCAAACCCTACCAATACAATCCTGTCACCTGCACACCCCTCGACCTCGACGACGTCTCCGTGCGCGCGCAACTCAGCCAGCTACGTGAAGAATATCCCTCCCCGGAAGCCGCTTTAAAGGCCCAGGAGCAGATCGCGAAAGAGGTGCAGCGAAAGCTGGAGGAAGCGGAGAAGAAGCGCGAGGAGGTCCAGAAGGCGATCGACAAGAAGGTCAAGGAGAGGAATACGGAGATGAAGGTGCTATCGAAGTATCAGGAGGTCAAGGCGTCGGAGATTCCAGCGTGAGGATGCTTCGATGACGAGAATGGAATTTTTTTGGGCGATACGGGCACTACACTTGGCAGTGAGGGATTGCAGAGCGCGCTCGCATATCTGGGGCGCGAGGGCTCGGAGGAATGCGCTGCTATTGTGCGACGTAATAGACTACAGGAGTCGCTGTGTCGAAGACTCCGTCCGTTTCTGGGGATCGGTTTCGCCGTGCAGGGTGAGCCGGTCGCATGGGTTTCTCGACAATATGGAGCACTCATCATCATGACTCTGGCATGAAGTATGTCATTTACAGTCAACCTGACGGAATAAAGGCTCTGGGGCAGCAGACGCAGAGGGAATCGCAGTGGGTACCTGCACCCTCCCACCGGACCGCACTCCCAGTGAATACATTCACAAAGCCTGTTTAGTAGTACTGATACTACTATGGCAACGCGCAAATAACCTCTCTTGACATGATTTGTTCAGGTTTCCTAAGGGCTATGGACATGATTATAGAGACATGAATCGTACCCGACCTTGATGTCCTGGCACACAATGACCTTCAACATCAAGCTCGTCAAACATGAACGACGTGATTAGCTCTCATATATGTGGAAAAGGAAAATAAGAAAAGAAATTAGATTAGCTGTCCATTCAATCATAAGCCCCGAGTGTAGGGCGGCCTCATGTCGCTTACAACGTGCCCAATATCTTTACCAGGACGGGGAGCAACTGAGGCGGAGAGTCAGTACATCATCCTTTACCATCGAATTTTTTAGATTGGGAAGAACTTACTTCAGAAGCATCCTCGATCAGGATTTGTGTTTCATTGACGAATTTCCTGGTGAGAAGATCATTGGCGTTGTTAAGGAGACCACCAACTTCCACAAGAAGGTCGGGGGTGATGACGGGGGAGACGCCATCGATCAAGTCTCTCGTCTCATTGACGAATTTGGGCGTTAGCAATTGGGTTGCGTTGCCCAGGACGTAGGTGACATTGGTGAAGAGGGCCGGGGTGAGGGCCGGTCCGACGCTGTCAATCAGGTTCTGAGTTTCCTCGACGAACTTGGTTGTGAGCAGCTTGTTGGCATTGCTCAGCAGACCACCGACTTCCACCAGAAGCTCAGGGGTGATGACAGGGGAGATGCCATCGATCAAATCTCTTGTTTCGTTGACGAACTTGGGTGTGAGCAGGTCATTGGCATTGCCCAAGAGACCACCAACTTGTCCCAGCAGTGCGGGTGTAATGACTGGCGAGACGTCGCCAATCAGGCCCTTGGTTTCCTTCACAAATTCGGGTGTCAGCAAGTCAATGGCATTATCCAGCAAGCCTTGGATGTCTTCGATGCTATCATCAGACAACAGGTGGTTTGCATTGCTCAGCAGGCTCGCAATTTCCTTGAACAGCTGAGGAGTGATGTTGGGCGCCACAGCACCAATCAGACCCTGGGTCTCGTTGACGAAGGTCGGGGTCAAAAGATCGTTGGCGTTGTTCAGCAACGAGTTGACGGATTTGAGCAGCTGAGGAGTGATAACTGGAGCAACTGCTCCAATTAGACCGGAAGTCTCCTTGATGAATTCAGGTGTTAATAGATCATTGGCGTTATTCAACAGGGCACTGATCTCCTTGAACAGATCTGCAGACAGGAGAGGACCAACAGCCTTGATAAGCTGCCTGGTCTCCTTCACGAAATCGGCAGTCAGGAGACTGTTGGCATTGACCAGTAGAGTGCCAATCTCCTTGAACAGCTCAGGGGTTAAGACAGGAGCAACAGCTCCAATCAGGCTGGAGGTCTCCTTGACAAATTCAGGCGTCAAGAGATTGTTGGCATTGTTCAGCAGACCACTGATCTGCTTGAACAGCTCAGGAGACAGCAGGGGACCGACAGCATTGATGAGCTGCTTGGTCTCCTTGATGAAGTCGGCCGTCAGTAGGGTATTGGCGTTGCCAATCAGACTATTAACCTCCTTGACAAATCCAGCGGTCAGCAGACTGTTACCATTATTCAGCAAGTTGGAGATCTGCTTGAACAGCTCAGGAGACAGCAGTGGACCGACAGCGTCAACAAGCTGCTTGATCTCCTTGACGAAGTCGGCTGTCAACAGGGTATTGGCGTTGCCAATCAGACCATTGACCTCCTTGACAAAATCAGCGGTCAGCAGACTGTTACCATTGTTCAGCAAGTTAGAGATCTGCTTGAACAGTTGAGGCGAGAGCAGCGGGCCGACTGCTCCGATCAGCTCTTGTGTCTCATTCACAAAGTTTGGTGTCAGCAAAGCATTTGCGTTTTCCAAAAGACCCAGCACTTCCTTGGTCAGCTCAGGGGTGAGGAGTTTGTATCCAGTGTCAATCAACGACTTGGTCTGGTCGGTAGTCTTGTCATCGAACAGATATGCGAAGTGGTGGAAGAAAGATTCGATGTCTTTCAGCAAAGTGGGAGAGAGAAGGCCTGAAATGCCCTCCAACAAGTTCTTGAGGTCCTTAAAGATGTTTCCGGAAAAACCATCCAACCCATCTCCCAGTAACGAGGAGCTTGATTCACCGCTCTTGCTAGTGGATGATGTAGCTGCAGTTGGAGCGGCAGCCTCAGATGTAGAGGAGCTCTCCCCAGAGGCAGCAGTTGTAACTGGAGAATTGCTGTTTGTTTTCTCACCAGTGAGTGTTGATACCAGTGGAATGTCGGTCAAGATGCTCAGTGGACTTCCACCGTCCTGGCTGACACTCTGCTGGGTATTCTGGCTAGCTGCCGGCTGCTCAGCCTGTGCAGTGGGTTGTTCGGCTTTGGCACTGGAAGCTGCTGACTCGGGTTTGACATTGACCGTGGGAGCTTGTTGAGAACTGGCACCGGCTGCGGGTGCCTGCTGGGGGTTGAAATTGGCCGTGGGTGCTGACTGAGGGTCAGCACTGCCTTCTTGTTCCTGATTCTTGGCGACATTGGCGTTCTGCTGGTTGTTGGCGGTACCTGGCTGTGCAGCCGGAGTAGCCTCTGCCGCCGCCGGTGTTCGGGCTACCGACTGCTCCTCCGCTGCATTCCCCTGTGTCACAGCACCGAGCACCGAGGAGACCTGGGCTGGTGTGGCCAGCGCGGTGCTGGAAAGCAAAAGGGCCGAGAGAACGGTTGAGAAACGCATGCTGGGTCTAGAGCTCTTCACGAAGGGAAGATGGCCAGCACTTGACGCCTGCAGGAAGTTCAGATCGAGATCTCAGTCTCGAGGCCGGAGTGGCTCCTTTTATGTCTGCACCTGTGCAGGACACTATTGACTATTGACTTCCGGTTTCCCTACCATATCCAGCTGTTATCAAGGAGTGAGACCGAGGAGTATGCTCGATCACCACGTGAACTAACTTATGTTGGAAGGCCTCCCATTCTCTAGCCACGACAACTGATGTCAGCGGCAGGGACGATTGCAGCCCATACCGCGGAGGTCATTCCCTTTTCGTTCCCGCTCGACAATAGCATGCCGATCAGCAAGGTGTGTCTTAATCTTTCCCTGCTGTCTTTGAGTGAGAAAGACTGCAGTGGAGCTTCTCCAGTACCCGCAGCAGGGACCTGAGGAGGGTCGATACTCAATTGCTTGTACACTTCGCCGTTTGCTTGGGCTAGAATCAAACTATGCTGAGCGGGAGTGAGCCGTGCACCCCGGACCGCAATGCTGCACTACTATGAGTTAGAGCACAACATGGAAAGGATTTTAGTCTCTTAGCCTTGCGGGGGAGCAAATTAGAAGGGTGGGAAATTGCGAGTGGCACTTTAGTTTCTTCCTAGTTCGAGATATGATCCCTTGAGGAGTTGGAGTCTCATTTTCGGGCTCCATCTACCTCGGTGATCGGCATGGACACATTGAGCAGAATGAGCATTTGACAGTGCTATGCAGACTGCCCAGGTTTTTAGACAGCACCGAGTAAAATGTAGCCAATTGGCTCCCTAGGAAGAAGTTGCTTCGAATTTGGTAGGTGCACAGAGACTGTCCAGTCCTTGTACATGCTCTTGCCATAGACAAGGAAAAATGGAACTCATCTGGAGGATAGCTAGATAGCCTTGCCTAGCATCCACGGGCCACTGTCACTACTCCACTAGTCCGTGTTAGTGGGAGCTTGAGTGTGGCAGCATGGTAGGCAGCACGATGGATAGTGCTGTTTCTTTGACTTAGTGCTGTCTACTCCATATCCTTCTGGATGAAGGTGCCCTTGAATGAATTGGATACTCGATCATTTTTGTCTTTTTGACTTCCCCCCCCCCCTCAGTCTGTGGGGAACTGGAAATGCCCGTGGGGACTGGGGAGTCATGAATTCTGTCGGAAAGACTCATAGACCCCATGGAGAAACATTGAAGATCTGGAGGTGCTGATAATGACCATCTTCCGATGTGGAGACTGGAGATGGCTTTTCTGTTTGGATGACGACGTAAGGGAGATGGATTTTTATGTAGATTGTGCAATATTCGGCGAGAGTAGAAACCAATGTGGAAGCAGAAAGCAGGGGAGAGGAAGATGTATCTCGGTAACATGTGATCTGCCCCTACTAGGTACTATCTATCTATCATCTATCTACTACTTGGATTGCAACCTGATACTGTCGACCCAGCTCACTACAACAACAGCAACAACAACTATCTAGTAGTGCGATGATCAGCAGCGACCATCAAAGCGGGGTATTCCGTTTCTTGTCCCGTTCACGTTAAATAGCGAGGGGGGGGGAAATCTTGTTTTACGCCTCTTTATCGGGGTCTGACATGGTGGATATTTTCGCAACAGGGTTCGCAGTGGAAGAACACGTCGGAGATTTGAAGCCAATAATGAGTGATGTGTGGCTCCGGACACACTCATGAGGGACATGCAACTCAGTTGGGATTCGGGCTATGAGGTATTTCGAGTCTCGACTCTTTCGGTAAGGAGCAACGGTTCCCCTGACAGTAGATACTCCGTCCCATGCTCTCTATCTTCAAGATCCTCAGGGGCACAAATCAACACAGCATATCTGCAGAGTATTCGTACTCCTTTTCCCCTTCAGATCTTCCGTCATGATGGTAATCCTTCTTCCCGCACGATATGACACAGACGACAATATACTCAGCCATTTCATTGGAAATGCCCAGAGACGAGTATCCAATGGAAGGATAGAAAACAAAGTGCTTTAAGACCAAGAAGTTCCATCGAGTCCTATGTCATTGAGTCTATTAACTATAGTGATGTACAGCAATTATCAACTGATGAGTATTAGTCAATTGAGACATAAAATAACGATCAGATGGACTTTTTCGTCTAGATAGTTGATTCATCAGAAGCAAGAGGTTCTCCCTGCGAAGGCCCCCCTACATTAGTGTCTCTTGTCTCACGTCATTGAACCATGCAGTGCAGCCACTGTTCATCTATCTACTTACTCGAGTGATTTTATCAACATGTTGATACTATTTATTGATTGTTAGTTTCAATGGGCCTATCATTCCGTCATTCTTCTAAGTATGTACTCATCTCGTTGCAAGGAACCACGCATCAGATAATCAGGTACCAGGGGTTGACCACCTGTAGATAATGTGGAGTAAGATACCTAGATGATCCACGGATGAAGCCTCGAATGCGAACCAATAACCACAATAATCCATTCAATAGCATCTGCACAGAGTATTCCTACTGTGCTATCAAGATACATCTCGTCAACGCAGACTGCAACCCTGCGCTGGTAAGAAACAACGTCTTTAATCCCCTACCATCGAGTCATAGATCGATACACAGAATACTGGCCCTCACATGGTTGTCTCGAACATTTTGATTGAGCAAGGTTCTGCATTACTGCATCGAACCGTCAAGTATTGTTTGTATTTCTCTGCTAACAGACTCATCTAATGCAAATCATAGCGTACAATGGACCATCCAAGATAGAGATCTAACCCAAAGACCAACCTCAGCTACCACCGTCTTCCTGTTGATGGGCAGGTCACAAGGAAATCTATTCACCGATATCTTCGGGTGTTGACCCATGACCCATGGAGCTATGAACTTGGGAAGTCAACCGGCTGAATAAGGACTGCCAGAGGTACCTTTGAAACTAGTCTACCTGACGAAGCTAAGCGAGCTCAGCAGTAATACGCCATGTGTGACTGTCTCGCAATATCAAGCCAGGCTCATCCTACTGATAATGAGTATGCTGCTCTCGACCTGCCGAACAATGATTAGCCCATGTGGCTCGGACTAGCGCTAATCAAAGCACTCATGCTTCAACGGCCCTGTAATGAACAATCGCTCTCGGATCATCCAAGCTAGTGCCTTGAGAAAAGCCGAGATTCTGAGGTAAACTCGGACGCAGACTTTGGTTTGTTGAGATTTTCTGACTTGATACCTATGGATGTCGGTCCAAGTAGATGAGAACGACCTGCGGCCCACGACTGGTGAAGTGGTGTCTTGATCGACTCAAGGTCTATCATGACTCTTCCTTTCGCACCACAAATACTCAGAGGATCATGACTTGCTTCCATAGACATGTCCTCTCATGAGGAATACCACAGGAGCAACTTTTGCGCGAGGGATACTTCATCGGGCCATGGAAGAGACCGTCTCAACCAGCAGCCTACTCTGGTCTTTTCTTCAGGATGATCGTCCTGGAACAAGGCGAGCAGTTGGCCGCCGGCCCGCTGGTCGTCACCGATGGCCACGATCAATCCTAGGGCATTCCAGCTCCCTGCATCGTCATGCTGTATCGCATCGGCCTACTTGGTATGTGCTAGCCATCATATGGTGATTTTGGCTCCAAAGAGAAGTTCAAGGATCAGACAGAGGTTCGGGGCAGTGCGACTTAATGCCTGAACGGAGCCTATCTGGCTTCGATTGCCTGTGCAATCAAGGCGTTTTTCTCATTAAACTCAGGCCTTGGTTACCCTGCTAGCAGATAGCGCAAAAGATAGTAGCTCCCACCACAAGCTAGACACTATCTGGTTCCCTTAGCAAGTATGTGCTGGCTGAGCGGTAGGTATATTTCAATCAATTAGCGAAAGAGAGCTTACCCTGAGAATCCTCATAGAGTCCTGCGTGTAAATAGAGCTCCAAAGGCAATCATTAGAGTAGCTGTTCATTCGACTTGGGTCAGTCCATCGTCTATTATTGAACCGAGACTTATCAGCCAATGTCCCCCCAAACCACCTACATATCTTTGCAATTTGGTCATAACTGAGCTGTGGAACATAGTGGTGGGAGACACATTATATAAAGACTCAAATAGTCTGCGACCTTCTTGGAGCTCTTGCAATATAAGAATGCAGACATCGTCTACAACGACCCATAGAAACATCACTACCCACTTGCAGACATAACATCACAAGTCCTGAGCTCGTAAGAATGGTATTTGAGCTGCTTCAAAGCTACCTATCTATGGAATTAACCATCGAGCACATCCATAGCATCATCTCTCTATCGAGGATCCCAGAGGCCAAAGCAATGCTCAAGTGGTGCAGAGTTATATGCATGCCAAAAACTCCTCATTACGGATGAATCAGGCTTGCCTCTCTCTGAAATGAACACAGCCACCCAGTATTCTGGATTTCCATAATGAGCATTCTCCAAACCATGTCATCATCATGAGGCCTAAACTGTAAGTAGAATGATGGTTTACTAGCACAGTAGATCTTTTCCTCGAGATACTGCCAGAGAACTTGCAGGCGGCTAGTCTCATAAGTGCCTAGAATTCCAATCGGTCTTCAGGGCCATCTGTGCGCTTACATTGCATGTTTGGAAGGAGCACTATGCCTGAGTATTTGGGCATCCTTTCGAACCTGCGCTGCATTGGGATAATGAGATGCTGTGTCCCTATGCACTTGCAAAGGCAGAGGTTTGTATGGAATGCAGATCTCGCAAAAGAGAGTGAGCAATAGTTCCAGATGTTGAAGGCCTTGCTTGGGTTTGAGATCATTTCTCAACTGACCCAGACAGTATTGTTATGTTCCCAAAGTCGCCCTGAGTGGGATATTCCTCGCTAAGACTTCGACTCAATATCGATTCAGATACGCGACCATCAGAACTCAGCCTGCGCTCTTTCCGGTGGGTTATAGAGGAAACGAGAGTCCTGGCCGAGCTCTGGATTTTGGCATCGCTTCCTGTGGTATAGAGAATACCGGTTTTCCGGTATTCCCAAGAACATTGGGGATGCCACAAAAAGTGAAGTGGCTCATGGCTGCACCCGTACGGCACGATGTTGGTTTATGAGCTATGACGATCGACATTGTCGATATACTAGCATTAGGCATGTTCCAGTGCTAGAACAACATATGCTGTGCAGCGGACAGGCACATCTGCCTGAGGAGGGATGTGGTGACGTTGTAGACATTGACAGATGTCAATGCAGCATGACGTCTAGAAGATAGGAAACTCGTTACACAGATTAGTACCTCGACGAAAACATCAATCAAGGATGTTTCAGCATGTAGCAAGAGATCACCTCCTCTCCAATCATCAACTCTCCGCAACCACACACACCTTACATTGAAGTACCTACTCATCATCATAACCCTTTTCAACACAACCCAGTCTCCAAACGGGTTAGCCGAACAGGTGACCAAATTCATATGCACTGTCAGCCTATTCCAGGTGGGTCACGGATGCAACTGTTGACGCCCACCCGGTCACCATGCATCCGTAGCCTTTTAGGTAACTCGATTTAATATCACGAAGTTGTGTGGCTTCCATGTCGACCAGTCATGGGCTTTCGTCTCATCCTCTCCGAAACCCGAGCAGGGGAGAGTGTTATCAATGCTCCTGCAGGCCCCTGGGTGAGGTTGGCTTGGTGCATGCAGGTGTTGTCTAGACTATCTGCTGACTGGGTCGTTGGGGGAGGACAGAGCGCTTAGAGAGGAGAGACGTCGGGGGTGTGATGACGCGTAAGTTATTTTGGCTCTGTGTTTGTACGAACGGGTATGTACGAGCGACTCAGTATGGTTGTTCGTAAAAGGGAAGTATGTACTTTGGACAAATATTCTAGACTCAGAGACCTGCCGTTTTGGCCCTGATAGCGTTGAGTCTAGAGGAGGCCTTGACGATGCGAGTACTTTTGCTAGGGGAGGGTTCAAGGAATGGGTGGTGGATGGCTATTGGGGATGTTCGGAGCATCGATGTTACTCTGCTGATTTTGACGATGTGCGTACTACTTACTGATGGAAAGTCGATGGCTTGTTTACTCCTAGTAACGTGAACCAATCCTTCCAGCGTAGCGTACTTGGAAACACATGGTTTAAAGGGAAAGCAGAGTTATGCACGCTAAGTATGCAGGTGTATAATCCGGTCTTACATCCTGCTTATATAATTATTCAACATCTTAGACAACAGTTCTACACTATGGAGCAGTTGTGTCAATGGTCTGTTCCGCCGGACTAAAGCTTCAATTTACGCGTCTATTTACGGCTGTCAACGTGTCTTCTTGAAGAATTGCCACGAGTTCGCCTTAAGACATCAGAAAACTTGCTGTGGCTGAAGTGTCCGAGTTACCGAGCTGTGGCAACTCCAGTGAGGCGCAGCAATCACGGTCATCACCGAAGCTGAGACGAAACAGATCATCCCTCTGTGCATAGCACCATCATATCTGTCCGTCTTTCTCTTTGGTTCTTCTGCATGTTCTTGGATTTGCAACGAAATCTGATTTGTCTTCTGTTTACTCTTCAAGTGTCACTTGTTGCATATGGCAGCTTTGATGGCAAATCAACCCAGGCAGTGCTGCTCCTTCAAAACAGGCTCTGTGAGGCCCCGCAGGTAGCCACTGTCGGCAGCTGACGACACTGGAGATTGAATACCACCGGGCCCTCGTGGGAAACCGATTACAGCCGACGGTATGACTGATTCTGCCGTCTTCCGTCCATGTTTTCATCCGATACTCACCTCATGACCCATGAGGATGCTTTGCATGTATCAAACCTGCTGCTGGGCGCGTGCTAAGACCTTCTTCCTCCTGTGCCTCCCAACCATGTGATCTTAAACATCGCTGTCGGTGAAAGCGCCACAAGGTTCCTGCATCGGTGCGCGAAAGCTTCTGCCTGCGCTGGTCTCTGTTACGTCTATGGAGTATCACGACGTAACCACGACTGGTGATTTGGCTGAATGAGTGAAGTTTTCAGGTGAAGGCCGCCTTTTGTCGGGCTTTACTACCTCTAAATACGGCCCTTGGTTGACCTGCAGCAGATCAGCAGGCTCGTCATGGATGGAGCAGCGCTCGACGTCTTGCTGCTCGCTGGCTTGGCCGTGCATCTCCGTCCTTCCCCTTGTGCCACATTCTTGCTCCGTTTGGCTGGTAGAAACCCGCGTTCGTTGCTTACGGCTGTCTCATATGAAGCTTAGGGCAGCCAGACTGCCGCCTGATGTTCCGAGTCTGGGTTTCCACTTCACCTGTCTCTCTTCTCCCTGCCTGTTACAGACTCGGCACAGTACGTATTCTGTCCGTTTTGTTACAAGCGCAAGATGGCCGCCGAATCGCATTGGTTCTCACAAAGTCTGGATAGAACCGTCGTCAATTCTTTAATCCAATGGTTGTTCGTAGCAGGGATCTCGCCTTCGTAGTGCAGGAGCCGAGCCTTTGGTTGTTGGCGAATCTGAGGCCGTAAGAGGAAATCTTCCCAAGGGCACCGGCAATTAGCTCGCCCCACGGTGCTCGACCCATCTGTTATGTTGGTGCACTCTTTTGTTCTTCGAACGCCGATTATCTTTGCAAGAGTCGACAAGTCTGAACGATGAGTATTCAGAAGCAGGAGCCAGGATGATTTCTGCCTCCTTTTCCCTTGCCTTTTCCGGTAGTTTTAAAGGGGCACAGGAGGTTAGTGCGACGGTGACCGAATTTTCTGGCTTATGATATCTTCTCATTCAACATCGAGTTAATAAATCTTTCTGGTCGAGCCTGCTGATTTGTAAAACCTCATGCGCCGAGAGATGGTTGGTCCTTTCTGCTCATACGATACCACTGAAAGTATTCACGCTTGCAGTAGCCTACTCGATCATACAGACTAGTGCCAATGTCAACAATATACACAGTGTTTAAACATCTTGGTAGATATACCTACTCTACTCTGTAGGTAGTAGCCATCAGTGTACGCCGGTACGGACTACGGACCATAAGAGTACCTTAAGAGTAATGCTTAGGTCAACCATGGACCATCCTGTGGTAGTGGTGACTAGGTTCGATATGTACTATTTCCTATGTAGGCAGTTAGTATTCGACGCGAATTTTAAGTAGTCAGCTTGCATTCTCACAGAGTAGATAGACTAACAAAGAAGAGAGTCAAAATGGCTCGAAGTTGCCGCAACTCTATCTTCAGTGCATATGAGTCAACATAGTGTGTGTAATCAGCATTTCCAGAACATTTTGCAGAAATGTCTAGGTATCTAGGTACAGAGGTGTGGTGCGAAGACGGCGGGCCCACCGAAGCAACAAGGTACAATAAACACGGGTGGGAGGTTGGACCCAGAGGGCCCGCACTCGGTAATGATCCTTCCGCAGGTTCACCTACGGAAACCTTGTTACGACTTTTACTTCCTCTAAATGACCGGGTTTGACCAACTTTCCGGCTCTGGGGGGTCGTTGCCAACTCCCCTGAGCCAGTCCGAAGGCCTCACCGAGCCATTCAATCGGTAGTAGCGACGGGCGGTGTGTACAAAGGGCAGGGACGTAATCGGCACGAGCTGATGACTCGTGCCTACTAGGCATTCCTCGTTGAAGAGCAATAATTGCAATGCTCTATCCCCAGCACGACAGGGTTTAACAAGATTACCCAGACCTCTCGGCCAAGGTGATGTACTCGCTGGCCCTGTCAGTGTAGCGCGCGTGCGGCCCAGAACATCTAAGGGCATCACAGACCTGTTATTGCCGCGCACTTCCATCGGCTTGAGCCGATAGTCCCCC